CTATTTTATAGAGAAGAAAGAGCTCTTTCGAATGAATATATACACTTCGCCAAAAAACAAAGCGAATCGTTGTAAAATGACCCTGACACAAAACTCTACGAACTTATGTTACAACCCAATAGATACTTATTACCCGTGAATACAGCAAATTCAATAGGTGTTAACGGAACTTCATGACCACATCACGAAAGAGCAACTACCCTACACATCACCTCCTATCTGAGACGGTAAGAATGTGGTGGGAAGGATTCTGTACGAGAATCCTAAAAAAATTTTGGGCTAACCCAGAGTAAATAAGTAAGCTTATGGAATTCATTCTAACATTTTTTACCCGGAGTAAATAAGTAAGCTCATGGAATTCATTCTAAGATTTTTTATGTTTTACATTTTTTTATCATATGTTTGAGCTTTTCGTCGAAGCGATTGCATTCATACCGACCTGGTAAACTAGGGCGATGTTCACTTTTTGTTTTTGAGATGGTTTCGATGGAAGTCGTAAAGCGTCCTTCCGTGAAGACGATAGATCAATAGCGAGGGTAGGAATAAGGATTAGGAGCAGAAGGTAATGGAAAGCAGCCGTCATCTCACATTTTCAGCCACATTATTTCTAATGCAGTGCTCTGAAAGCATGTATATGTATATTAGGAATGTGCAATCACTAGAGAGAGTGATAGAGAAGATAAAAATTTGAAAATTTTGTTCTGATGCTCGACTGGATTCATTTTGCATTTTGAAAAATTTTTGGAATATTGAATTGAAATATCTATTTGTATTTACCGAATCTTTTNATCGATTGCACAGGACAACCAGGCTTTCCATCCTTTCGGGGTCGGTTAATTGGTAACAGTCTCTTCTATGAGGATAAAAGTACTGACAGATCAGCTGGCCACTGCAAATCATTGTGTGGAGCTCATACGCTCTCAAAACGTCACTACGAATCTGAATGGAATTCAAATGAGGGGCGCAACCCAAAAAGGGATTGATAACGCCAAGGATATTATAATCAAATCTCTCTTACAGAGCGGTCTCGGATAGGTGTTCCGTAATCAATCTGGCAGTGTTCCTAGGGCCAAAAGTCTAAGCTCTGATTGCCCCAGGTCCCGAATTCTACTCGATCATGTTTTCTGAGGTTTACTTAGTTGTTTACGCTGACTCTACCGTGTAATGGGCTACTTTGGAACTAATGTGGTTGTGGTCCGATGGCATGACGACCGATGAGATGGATCCCATTAGAGGCCTTTATTTTCGAGGACTTTTTATAAATCTGGCAACATTCTTGTGGGCACGTTACAAATATAAATATCTCTAATGTGTATGTATGCTTCATCTAATATATCTTCTTCTAATTAGGTAGTTGGAGGTAAGCGTTTCCATCCCCAGTCGTAGAACGAAGGCTAAGGAAAGACGGGTTTGAATTCTGTGATCTTGACTGGTATCAATCGATATCGATTTGACTCGTTAGTTGCCAGTTTTGCCCGCCGGTGTCATTCTTTTGAGACCTTCTCAACGCGTACTGGCGCGAAATAACAGCAGTTAACAAAACATAAAGTCAAAACAAGTTATAACAAGTAAATCTACAGTTTAACGGTTCAATACTGTTATTGGCTGACTAGCTCAACATGTTGTGCATGTGAGTTCTGGTAAACTACGGCATGAAAACCCTTAAAAAGGCGTAGGCAGCCAGGGTCTCGGTAGTGTTAGAATTAAGAGTTTTGTGCCCAAACAGCACAAGTACGGGTTCGAGTCCCATCTGAGGCCGAAGTTTTGTCCATGACTCGCCAACCTTGTGACTCTTCTACTTCGCGTACTGCAGAGAAATGACAGCAGTTAACAAGGAAATCAAATCGTTTCTTTGTCTCAATTCTGGCAAAGATTTTCACGCCTTTTCTCCCAAAGTAAAAGTATACAAAAGACAACATGATATGTGAAGAGCGATGTAGGATCAATGAAAGTAGTTTAGAGAGAGAAAAAAAGTGTCGCAGTTCTGGAAAAGAAGCTTAAAAAAGGGTCTGGAGAATGCATGTGCTGAACAATCGGAGAGGACACTTACTTGGGCTATGTTACTCTATATGTATTCAAAGCAATATAATGATGATCGTTATAGATGGGATCTTGAGCAGGACATCTAAAACTGTGAACCCGTCTAAAGCTAACTAGGTGGCCAAGGCTTAACCTAATCTATAGAAGAAGCAGCAGAATGCGTGCATAATGTGGCGTTCATTTCTTGTGAACATTATGAACTTTGACTGAAGCAATACGTGATTTCTTGTAGAAAACTGCCGCAGTTATGAGACTGGTTTTCTGTCGACCGGATAGAGCTGAAATTCAGCGGTCAAACTTTGAAATCTGTTAACTTCCCTTTCACGGATTTCCTCGCTCCACTCTTTACCATAGGCGCTATCCCATTTGCTTTCGTTTGCTCCTTCCATAAGACGGGCAGGCAGACAGACAGACAGATAAACAGACAGGCAGACAGACAGAGATCGGTTCCTCTCAGCGGTTGAAAGTCTTGTCAAAGCTCAACTAAACTACTGGCTTTTGGTATGAATTGGAAATTTGTTCGGTTAAATTTGATGTTACCCCCACTGGCATGGATTTACTTGATAAGCAGTACAAGTAGTATTATTAAGCAATGGTAGTCATGAATTTCTATCCCCGATAAGTAAAGAAAAGAACGAATAAATAAACAGAGCTTGCAAAGGCACGAGGATAATGTGATATGGCTTTTTGGGCGTTTTCAAGTTAGTTTTCCAGAACGGAAAACAGTAGGTAGCAATGTAGCGACTAATGAGTAGTTGATGTCTAACGAAAAAAAAAACTGCTGTCGTGTCCGGCTTAGTCATTGCCGTTCCAGAATAGGTTATACACGGGTCTCTCCACATCTTCCCTTGGGAGAGCAAATGCAAAAGGCAATCTTCGGTGGAGCTATAAAAACGATTAGGAACCCCACGCGAAAGCCTCTTGCTCGAAAACGTCGCTTCTACACGGTTGATAGCAGAGGTAGTGTAGTTACAAATGGCGTACTATCAAACACTCATGGTCACGGATATAAGAGCCGGATCGATATCAGCCCATCCCTCCGGGATCGTTTGATTGAGACCAGACTCGTCTGTAAGGATAAACACACTGACTTGTACATCGGCTGGCCATCGCAATTCACTGTATAGGCCACATTCGCATTCAAGCCGCCACTACGATCTTGTATGAATCACGAGTGCGGGGCGCATCCAGAAAGCGCGATTGGTTAATGCCGAAAGACTTCATCTTCAATCTTTAAATAGGGCTTTTGAATGTACAGGGACGACGATCTATCCTACGACTACTGTCTGCTTATGGAGTTCATAACTGGTAATCAGTATTTGCGCGGGTTTTCTACATTTTTCTCAACTATGCTGTCCAATCGCTGCCACTCTTTAAAGCGGCATCGTAATCGATGACAGCAAAGTATAAACCCAGTATAACATAAGGTATAAATACACAAACAAAGTGCAAATTCGGAACCAAAGGCGAGTGTGCAAACAGTAGAGACTGGGATATTACTGATTGTGAGACCTAATCTTCAGCAGCCAGCACTGAAGATTAATACCCACGCTGGTGCCGGAAGGGTATAAGTCGGTTCAACCTTTTTATAAAAAACAAATTATCAAGAAAACCGAAACGAATTCAAAATGACCACTCAAAAAATAATGGAATTATATCTCAACCAACAGTAGGAATTTCAAAACAAAACTAAAATTCTGAAGGCCCAGCATGGAGTACGTAGGGAATGGCCCGAAAATTTCTTGGAAGGGATTGGAGTTGGATCAGTGAGTGGGATTAGACAGAGGGAGGTAAGGGACGAGTTGAAGAGTTTAAATGGCGAAGTTTTCCCCGTTGAAAGATGATTGAATGCGCAGAGGCTTTAAGAAGATTGGCAATTCCCCAATTTCCCCTCTCACCGCGATGACGACTACGAGCAAACCAATTTCGTTGTCTGAATCCCCATTTGTCCTACTGAGTCCCTCTGAAACACGGAATGACAACGTGAACACTATTACTAGTAGAATCCTCGAGTCTAATTGACGAGATCTATTAAAATTTGAGAATAGAAAAGAGACTTTCCCAATTTTTTGTTTCAGGGGCTTTTATTCTTGTCAATATCAATAGGGACCAAAAGCAGAAAAGGTGTAGCGGCAATCGGCTCACTATCACACAGGTGTCCAACCCGGATCAGGTCAACCAAGCCATCCATCCCACCGGGATCGGTCAATTGCTAACAGACTTGACTGACTTCTTCTTTTCATTCCTGCTGGTTAATTTGTACCCGGTTTGTCTGGTACGATAAAAGCACTGTTTTGCACTTTTCAAATGCCACTACGATTCTGAACGTAAACCGAATGAGGGGCCTATACCAGAAACGGCGAACGGGGTCGATTTATACCAAAGACTGTGAGCTATACTCACCTACACTAGTTACTTTTATGGCTTTTATTTTTTACAGCTACCTGAATGATTCTTTTTTTCTCGAGTTTACTTTTTTTGTTTTTTTTTTTGCTGAAGTGTAGTCTACGGGAGGGACAAAGGGATCTTTTTAGACTGGCCGGCTATTATTTTTTTTCTTTTCTTTTGGTGCTCTCGCCATGTTTTCTCAGCTTAGATTTGTTTCCGAACGACTGTTCATCATCATGAATTGAGAGTTTGGAAGTAAAAATATAAATAAATAAACATTTCAATAAACGCACAGCGAGTGTATCATCTGCAGAGATTTCCTCGAAGTTTCCAAGGGGGTCCTATATAGGTACACTACTCACTTCTATAGTTACAACATATCCGGCTACCTCTTCCTAGCTT